TGCTAAAAATACGCAAAAAGTCGTCGGTTTTCGCTAGTCGAGGAATATTGAAAATAGACCCCGAGTAGCGTAGGCAATCAGAATGAAGGATTTGCAATAGTTCACTAGTATGGTAATACTAAAGTGAGATACAATGGAATGCAGTGGGCTACCATCGCTGCATAACATCTGTTGCAGTAGTATTCTATGTGATACGGTGGGATGTGGTGGAATACCATAAGATGCAAGTGAGACACCATGAAGCATTGAGATGCAGTGGCATGGTACTTAATTACAGTTACAGAATTACAGAATTTACAGTTATACATAATATTATAGTATTATTTATAATTTTAGTCTGTATCAAGCTTATTTATTATACGTATGATACATATGCAAACCAATTACAACTGTATCCCCCTGTTAGCAATTAAGAACCTACTTAAAAACCTGTTTTGCCAAAATTACAAAGAACTACGTACCCCTTTCAAAAAACAAGGTTCTTATTTTAAGGTGTTTACTKTATTATTTTCAGAAGAAATAAACGTACTAGTGCTAATTAAATTYATTCATTATAGTTGAATTATATTTGTCTTAATTTTTTAATCGCTATTCAGCTCACATAGCCCAAGAAACCAAAACAGTGAACATTCAGTTTGTATAGGAAACCGCACGACCTTGCGTGCAATTTGGAATTAATAACAGTCAATGTACTAGCAATTCGAGTAATGTTTTCAGAGTTCTTGATATTTGTTGTACTTGGATCCTAAAGGAGTTTCTAAACTTCATTTATTTTCTACGTTTACTATTTTTTTACTTATTTTTACTAAACGTACAAAGTAATGGATCTAGTTTTAAACTAAGATACTCAGTCCTTTACGCACACAAAAACCCGCAGTTTATTGACAAAACTAGTTTCATCCTACGACCTTATCAATTATAAAATAAACATTTTAAACATTTATTTTTTTTTGTCCTTTAATGTTAGAGCTTAATAAACTGGTCTCCGTAAAATTCCTGGTTGAAAGACAGGAGAACAAACTTAGTTAAACTTTAGATGTTTACACAACATGATTAAATTAGTTTCGTCTTAGTCCTCAATTCCTTTACAACTGTTTAATACAATAAACGCGCTTTAAAAATATGAAATTACAAACAGCGCGCGMAAACTTAAGCTAAAGGTGTTACAAGTGGTAAACATATATAGTGGTAAAACTAGATCCATTACTTCAGGATGAAATGACATTTCAGACTTGTTAAGAAATTATTAAGCATAATACTACTAAGTACTATAATTTAGATGTTTGTAACATATAAATATCATCWCATATTGTAGGATGTCAAATGATAATTTCAACTTTTACCTCTCCTTTGACACACAGAAAACACAATACTTGTTTGAGGAAAACTAGTTTCGTCTTATAAAATTCGACCTTATCAATTGCTCTACAACTGTTGTATACGATAAGCGCGCTTACATTTGAAATTACAAACAGCGCGCGTAAAATACGTAGCGCGAGCTCAAGGTGTTACAAAACTGCGGTGAAGAACAAAGATTACATTAGTTAAGAAAGTTGTATGTTGTCATGTGGAATTCTTACAGTGTTCCACTCATTCTTATATGTTGGCACGTGGAATTCTTACATTGTTACACTCATTCTTATTGTTCATGGTTCTACCTCCACACCTCCTTATCTGGACCGCCTCTGTTATCTGCCTCAAGGTTGCATCTCCATTAAACACGTCAGTGACCCTCATCTTAAAGGCTTGTGCTACTCCTCAGTGTTTCTCTTCAAAATGCATCTTTAAAACTGACCTCTCATTTGATGCCTTCAAGTCTGACATGTTCCTTACCTCTCTTGTGTATGCGCTCCTTAATGTTTCACTTACGTATTTGCATTCACAGCCTGCACTTGCAATCTCATATGTTACTTTTTGTTTCTTGAGCGATCAAATCCATTTAGGAAGAACGAGTGCAGTAACGAGAATTGTCTGGTGTATAATATATCGGTGAAACATCGGTTAGTGCGTTAACGAGAGGAAAAGAACATGTTAAAGAACTGGACCAGCGTAACTGTGAGCATTCTGTCTAAAAAGGCACTGCAGCGAGAAAAACGAGAACGTTTTACAAGATTTTAAAATGAATGTTACGGGGCAATTTCATCTAGAACCTATGCTGAGGCAGATAACGGAAGCAGTGAGAATCAGAAGAGAAGGAGAGAAGGCCATTAACAACAAGACTGAATGGAATAATGGCACTGTACTAATAGCTAGAATGGAGCTATCATGATTGTAATTTTGTAATTTTATTTAGCGCGCGCGATCTGTTTGAGCGTGTAACCACTGTTGTACAAAATTTGGGAATTGAAGAGGTTATAAAACGAAAATAGTTTTCCTAAAAGTCCTTACACTCTTACACATAATGAAATGTCAAAGATCTTTTCTAACCCAACTTAAAGATATCAAATTCTTGATATCTACCATCTTCTTCAATCGAGAGTCAGGTGTCGCTGGCACAAAAATTACACTAGTGTAATCACGGAAGCTGTAATTACGTAATCACTGGTATAAGAAATTATACCAGTTAACTTTCTTGGTATAAGAAATTATACCAGTTAACTTTCTTGTCTCTCTTCGCCCCAGTCTGTACATCGGCCGTACACCATTCTGATCTAATAGCAGTATCTTCCTATATGCATTCATGGCTGACTAAACAACATCATGACTAAAAGACTGTCCATACCCAGAGTATTGCATTCTCGACACCATCCCATTGACATGTGTGACTGTCCTACCAAAGTGGTAACGGGTTACAATTGAGCATAACTCTGAGTACCTCTTGTGTGGGTATCGTTCTCTTGACTTGCGATGGGTACAGCCGAGCGTGGATGGATAACTGACTTAGAAGATATTTCTTTCGAGTAAAACTCATGCATACATATGAGATTACATGTGCAGTCTGTGAATGCAAATACATAGGTGAAACATCAAGGAGCGCATACACACGAGGGAAGGAACATGTCAGAGACTTGGAGGCATCAAATGAGAGGAGGTCAGTTTTAAAGATGCATTTTGAAGAGAAATACTCAGGATAGGCACAAGCCTTTAAGATGAGGTTCACTGACGTGTTTAATGAAGATGCAACCTTGATGCAGATAACAGAGGCGTTCCAGATAAGGAGATGTGGAGGTAGAACCATGAACAATAAGAATGAGGAACAATGTAAGAATTCCCCGTGCCAACATACAACTTTCTTAACTAATGTAATCTTTGTTCTTCACCGCAGTTTTGTAACACCTTGAGCTTGCGCTACGTATTTTACGCGCGCTGTTTTGTAATTTCAAGTGTAAGCGCGCTTATCGTATAGAACAGTTGTAGAGGAATTGATAAGGTCGAATTTATAAGACGAAACTAGTTTTCCTCACACAAGTATTGTGTTTTCTGTGTGTCAAAGGAGGGGTAAAAGTTGAAATTATCATTTATTCCTACAATAGAAACTCCTTTTAAAAGGTCCGAATTTTGTTCTTGTCTTTCACAAGCATTTAAACCAGGAATTTCACGTATACTAGTTTCGCT